TTACAATATGGTAGGGTATTTGAAAATTGAATTTTGTGGTAAGGTATTTTAAAATTTAATTTTGTGAGAGTAGTTGGTATATAATCACTTTCTAATGGCTACTTTTATAATGTCTCAAGGGATTTTTTTTTCCTTTGTAGCATGTGTAAAATCAATAAGGTTTATTGATAAAGTTAGTCTTTAAAATGCATGCTTGTGCTCATTAAGATATTTATTTTAGAAAAAATCAATTTTAGGTGTCAAAGAAATAAAATTGAATTTTAAAAGGTAATACATTTCAAGTCTTGCATTCAATTAGATACATAGACAAAGTGACTATTTATATAATATATATTAACTCATAAATAGGTTATGTTAGTGTAGTGACATTCTTAGTATTTTTGAAGTAATGTTGTATTGTTAAATATTTTTTACTATTTATGATATGAAATATAAATAATTTATATTTAATATCACAATTCAAACCTGTAGGGTCACACACAAAGAACAAGCCCACTAAAGAAGTTAGATTGTAGTTGGATAAATTTTTTTACCTCATTAAGTCGATGAACCCAATAACTAAATCATGCTTATTAGGATTTTTTTTTTATTATAGAGTATAAGATGCATAACCTAATTACATATTATTACATTAACTCCTTTGTGGACCACTAGCATAATAATGACGAAGGACTCTAGTAGACTATTCGTGTGAATACTTAGAGTGTAACACCTTGAATTTTGGTAATATTAATTATTGTTATTTATATAAATTTAAATGATATATATGTGTGTGTATATATATATATATATATATATATATAATCTCGCTACAGCGAGACTGCACTCAGAAATGCACCCTAAACTGTCGTTCTCTCGCTGCAACGAGAAGTATCTCGCTATAGCGAGAAGGTGACAGTTTCAGTCCTTCCTCCTAGGGCCCTCTTGCTACAGCAAGAATCCTCTCGCTGCAGCGAGGATAGCCCAGAATTACACCTGCACTTAGGCACTTAGCCCATTTTCAGTCCAACCAATCATGCATACACACACATATGTATATGTGTGTGTATGCATGATTGGTTGGACTGAAAATGGGCTAAGTGCCTAAGTGCAGGTGTAATTCTGGGCTATCCTCGCTGCAGCGAGAGGATTCTTGCTGTAGCAAGAGGGCCCTAGGAGGAAGGACTGAAACTGTCACCTTCTCGCTATAGCGAGATACTTCTCGTTGCAGCGAGAGAACGACAGTTTGGGGTGCATTTCTGAGTGCAGTCTCGCTGTAGCGAGATTCTGCAAAAACTAGGGTGCAGTTTCGTTTGATATTTTCGCTGCAGCGTGAGGGCGTCTCGCTACAGCGAGGATCTTGTTGTAGCGAGAGTGTCACGACCAGAAAGGGATTTAAAGGGGGTTAGGATTTGGGGAGGATTATTTCTCCCTCTCCCTTCGAAATTCCTTGGATTTTCTCATTCCCAAACCCTTTTCCACTGATTAAATTGCCTCTAAAGTCGTTCGGGAGATTGATTGAAGTTTAAATCTTTGTGGGGAACGCTTGGAGGTGAGTTTTAATGGTTAGGGTTTTGATTTTTCATCCCCTTTCTCTGTTTTTGTGGTTTCCTTGAGTTCTCATGAAGTTTCTCCATGTGTTTAGGATGAAATCCGTGAGGGGGAGCACTTCTTGGTGGATTTAGCGTGTGAGTCTTCAATCTAAGGTAAGGGGGACTCTATCCTACTCTTTTATGCATGAATTATTGATATTTTGCTGAATATTGTGTTGTGGCTGAGTTAGTAGGTAGGAAATTGCTGAGAAATGTAATCTGGGCCATGTGCCGTGATATGTGAACATTATGTGTGATCTGAAATTAATGGATTTGGATTATATGTAAATATTGTGTGATAGAATGAGTATGGGCACTTGTGCCGTATATTTGAATGAATATTGTGAAAATGTAGGCCAAGAGCCGTGTAATATGAACGATAATTGTAGGCTGCATGCCGTGTGCTGTGAATTGAATATAGGTTGTGTGCCGTGTGTAAGCATGACTATTGCATGCGTGAATGAAATATGTGTGAATGGGCGTATTAGCGCTGTTGTAATGTGTTGTGAATGGTTCAGCGATACACTGGAATGTGGGAGATGAGGACTGTAGAAATACCTTGGGAAAGAGCGAGTGGTGGTGACACCGATTGCGGAACGGGTGCACCACGGGCCACACACTCTCTTCCTGACTAGACCTCTGACCACTATCTTTGTTGAACGACCCGTGACTGCCCACGTGGTATCCCTGAGGCGGGGGTAACCGGCGACCATTCATGGTGTAAATCTGTTATCATAGTGCTATAGTGAGTGTGACTGACGTGCATATGCATGAGTTTATGAATTGTACTTATAGATGTGAAATGCTGCTTATGATTGTGTTTTTTTAATGTGTTGGAAATGTTCTGGAGGTCAGACTCTACGTTGATTGTGTGTTTTTGGGTAGTGTAGAGTACTCACCCTTACATTCATTTTTCAGGTAATCAAGACGATCAACACCAGACTCAGTGAAGGGACGGATGGACTGTTATAGGACTTAGATTTTATTTTAAAATTGTTATAATTGAACTATTTCTATAGTAGTTATTTGATATTAATTTGTAACCCTTCACTTATTTCGAAATATTTTATGAAAAAATTGGTTATCTAATTTGCGAAATTATTATTTAATTGAAATTAAATTTAAGGTGTTACATAGAGACTTGAACTTATATTTTTCTTGTAACAAACTAATGTTGTATGTATATGTATGCTTTAAAATGTGAATCTTAAATGCTAAGTCTTACACGAGATCAATTGTTAAATATAAAATTCATATAATGATAAGTTAAATCTTGCATAAGTATTTTGGGATCATTTTGTTTCATTGTCATTGTTGTGCACACAATTCTTAACAAATTAAATTAAAATCACTATCATATATTTTTTAAAATTCTATTAGGTAATTTACATTTAATTTAGAAAACCTTTGACTAGTTATGAAAAAAATTTCTTACGATGTCTAGCTATTGGAGTAACATAGGTATAATACAAGTTGCCATGCAAAAGAGATGGCTTTTCATTTATTTTTCTTTTTGGTTAGGGCTTTCTTATATATACAATTAAATATTAATTAAGACATATTATATATTTATTAAATTACAATAAGTACTTTAAGATTACTAGTTCATAGATTAAAAAAATTATTAATTTCATTCTTATAAGAATCTTTAGTGTATTTTAAATATAATTTTAAAAAAATATATTTATTTTTTAAATAATACTTTAAGAACATTAAGTAATTATATCTATACTTTTTAATCTACTAATCTGAATGCCAAATTTCAACCTCTTTACTTTAAGTTATTTTATTATAATTTTAACCTCTTATTTATTTATTTACTTATTTTTATTTGATAACTTATTATAAAATTAAATAATAATAATAATTAAAAGAAAAATTGAAATCAACTTACATCTTTAGACTAACATGAATTTATGTCCTGTTATGACTTGTGTTGAAAGATTTATTTTTAATATATCTCTATTTATAATTTGTAGATATTATTTTTTGAATGCGAATATTTCTATGAATGCTCTTAAATGAGATTGTTTTTAGTAGTATTTTCAAACAAAAGTGTTTTTAACAAAAAAAAATTAATTATTAATTTATTTTTCTGCAATATGTATGTTTTTTAGTTTAATACTAATTTAAATTTTAAATTTCTCATAATTAATTTTAAATTAATTTTATATATTATTTTTAATTTTTATATAATCAGCATCAAACATTTTATTTTAAAAATAAAATTTCAAAGAATATATTTTGATAAATGATTATATGGTGTTGTTAACATGAAACTTAAATGTTACACATATGTCGCATAATTAAACTGTAAAATTTGATCTTTGAGTAGAGTGAATATTAAATCATGTGTAACTTAAAATTACAAATAGAGTAATACTTTTTTTTACATTCTTATATAATTTTTATTTCTTACTAGTATCTTTTATAATTTAAATTTGAATAATATTAATTTATATTTAGTTAAGGGGGTAAGAATACAAAATGTTTAAATATATCTACAAACTGTAACATAGACTGCTTTAATTTTAAGCAAAATATACAGTTTAACCTCTTTTTAATATTTCTTACATATTTTATTTTTATTTTTTAAAATTTATATATTTTTTTTATATATTTTTAGTTTGTTACACTTTCAGGGACTAGTTTTCATGTTTTTTTTTTAAAAAAAAACTTTTGCCTAATTTAAAATTAAAATGTGAGAAAATACAACATTTTGTGATAGTTAACACTGTAGTTTAATGTAGTTTCTCGTGGAATGTTGGTTAGTATGTAACATATGGAGTAATGCTTTTCTACTCTTTCTAATTCCCTTTTTATTTTAATAAAATTATTAACAAAATCTATAAACAAAATTGATTAAGAAAAATAAATTTAAAAGTATTTTGTTGAGACAAAGTCCTAATTGGTGTTAATATATAACTCCTATAAATAACTCTAAACAGTTGCATGCTTAAGTAATAATAGCTTGCATAGTTTGACATCCTATTTAATTTTTGACAACTTTCATCCAAATCACATAATTTCACACACCTGTTAAACCTATTGAGAAACATACTTATCATTTATATTAAATCTGTATTTAGTTTTGCCAGCTATGTCATATCAAAATATTCTACTATAAAAGAAACATACAAGACCTCTGTACATGCAAAAATTTGTCTCCAATCAATATATTAAATTCTCAACAATTGCTTAGACTTTCAATAAGCATAATCAAATCTTTATCATGGTCAACCCTTTGTCTTCTCCTTATGTGGTATGCAATTATTAACATTCAAGTTTTAGCACTTAGTCTTTTTCAAGTCTTATTTTTGTCAAGCACCTAATGAATTATCTATAGGGTTATTGAAAAGTATAACATCCTAAATATAGCTAATTTGCACCTACTTATGTAACACTACTTTTGTTTTTGTTCAGGTAAATATGAAGTTATTTTGTAAAGCAATGATGATTTCATTGTCAATTTTGTTGTCGCTTCCAAGCACAGTATCCTCAACCTATCAAAATCATATCAAAACAGCTACTTTCATGTCTGAGAGTTTTGAAGTAAGACCAGGATCGGTTGCAGCAAAAACATTTATGAATATTGAGTTTCCAAGAGGGCATATTGGAGTCAAGAGTTTTGATGCTGAACTAGTTGATGAAGATGGAAATTCCGTACCTTTGTATGAAACTTATTTTCATCATTGGTTTGCTATAAGATACTTTGAAAATATTACTTTTTCACGTCACCCTGAGCTTAGTCAAGATTTTCGTGAGGCTTTTATTTATAAAAGAAATGATGGCCCATGTAATGAATATATTCTTCCACATTATTGGGGCTTTGGAAGTGAATCTCGTGGAACAATCTCAAATATTCCTGATCCTTTTGCAATAGAACTAGGTAACCCTGCAAAAATTCCAAAAGGATATGAAGAGAAATGGTTGTTCAACATTATGGCCATTGATACGCGTGGGGTACAAGATAAGAAAGGTTGCAGTGAATGCAGATGTGACCTTTTTAATCTTCCAAAAAACTTTTATAATGTCTCAAGGGACATTCACGGCCAACCATTGAGCACACATTATAAGGGTGGACTTTTTTGTTGTCTAGACAACCTACAATGCAAATTGAGAGAGGGTTTTCAAGGCCCAAAGAGAAGACTTTCCATAAGATACAAAATAAGGTGGGTTGATTGGGACAAATATCAAGTACCAGTTAAGGTCTACATACTTGATTCAACTGATAGAGTGAGATCAAACGATTCCAAAACAATCCATGATTGTCAGGTAGATAAGTTATTAAAGGCAATACTTCATTAAAAAAAAAGTAGATTCTTTAACTTAAATTTAGTTATAAATATAATGTCTTTTACTTTTATTAAGAGTAGTGAAAAACAAATATCTTTTAATGGTCCTTACAGGCAGAATACACCATTTTGGCAAATCATAGCAGTGATTCTCCTCATGTCCAAAAAGCAAACATCCCATTAGAAAAAGGTGGTTATCTCATATATGGTACTGCTCATATGCACACAGGTGTTGTCAATGCAACTCTCTATGGACAGGTGGTGTATATTTGCCATAATTATCATGTACTCTTCATTTGTTGTAATGCATCTTCACTTCTAAATATATGTTTTCTTATTAATTTAGGATGGAAGAGTTTTATGCACGTCAACACCTAAATATGGAACGGGAAAAAAGGCAGGAAATGAAGAAGGTTATGTTGTTGGGATGTCTGTTTGTTATCCGCAACCTGGTTCAATCAGAATCAACGATGGTGAAACCTTGACTCTAGAGTCTAGATATAAAAATGAGTTCCGCACAGGGGCTATGGGACATTTTTACATCTACTTGGCAGAGCAATTACCGCATGAGAATGTTAAAAATTTAATTTAAATATAAGAAATGTTTCACACATATGCTATATATGGCACATTCTTACATTTATATGTCTTCAGCTAATAACTATAATAGCTTTTAAGATATTTTATTTATGGTAACATAAATATCATCGTTTCTAGTAACATGTGTCATATTAGTTTACCACAAATTGCACAATCCATTTTTAAAATTTCAAAATTTCTTGTTTAACACATCATTAAATCTTTTTTGTGTATGTTATCGTTGTATTATTTTCTAGTATATATTTTTCAAAATATTTATAAAAAATGTACAAAATTTATCTATTGATTAGATTACAAACATTTAAACATGTTTTTACTATTTTTAAATTATCACAGCATGCTTGTGTGCGAGTGTTATTACAAAAGATAAACTAAAAATTTTGTGAAAAGAAAATATAGTTACCAACAAATTTTATTGAAGTCAAGAACAATTAGAAATTCTTTTTATTTTTTAAAATGAGTTTAAGTTTTAGAGTTTATATATACACTTGGAAGGACGAAAAATGAATTCGACTACACCTCTAAGTATATTCATTCATGCAATATTTATTTGTAATTAATTGTATAATTATTATTAATTATAAAATAAATAATTATTTTAACTTCAAATTAAAATACAGGTTAAAATATACAAAACCAAGAAATTAGTAAAATCAAATATAAGAATTTTTTTGAAATTTGTTTTAGTAGGATAAGAAATTTTCTTACTTTCAGGTATTCCGTCCTGCAGTAGAGAACTAAAAATTGCATCATTCTTAGAAAAAATTAATAAAATGCAATTCACCAAATTGCCTAAGGTAAATTGTTTTGCATTTGAAAGCAGATGCTGAGAATTTGTCTAAACTAAATCATTCACCTTATTTAAAGTTAATAAAATTGCACAAAATATATACAATTTACCAAACTATCATATTTGAAGTATTCTATTGTTTTCTTTTTGAAAAATACAAAATTTGATAAGTTATCTCATGTAAATCAATCCAATTATAAACTAATTTTAAGAAAAAGTTAAATTTCTTTTCAAAACAAGTGTTGGATCTTAAAGTAGCTTTGCTACACATTAAGGTACATTTAATCTTAAGGTTATTGAGGTATAAATGAGTATTTAAGAAAATGTATAAGATCTTATGATAGTTTAATTACACGTAAATCTTAAAATAATAACATCTAATAAAAAATATATATTTTCTGACCAAAAGTGTAAATTTGAGACTACGTATAAAAAAACTAGGAAAATGCTATATGAATAAATCAAGAACGAACCTAAGCGACAGTAGATTCACATAATAACTAAAAATTTAAAAAAACATAATCAATATGAAAAATAAGATATCTTTTGAAAGTTTTCTTTTTAAATTAATTATGCTTCCATTTTCGTTACTTTTAATTTATTTTATTATTCGTAGCTTTAGATTACCATTTTGTTTATAATTTTATTTAAACTAAATAATTAACTCATTGTTTGTTCAAGACATATGGCCTATTTAAAATGCACAACCCAAAAGAAAGTGTGTATCATATGAATAATAAAAATTTTATCTGATAAATCATATAAAATTAGAAAAAGATTTGCTAAGGGAGAAGGTAGAGTAAATTAATCAATAATGACAGATATCATGCATGATGGCTTGGTAGTAAAGTAGAGGTGATGTTTATGGCTCATAATACTTGTTTTGATGGTAGATAACATAAAATTTTTGAAGTCTCATTGATATATTTTTCAAGATTCTCAATTCACAATTTAAAGAAAAGTTAAATTGTTATATTAACAATTAGCCACTAAGTATTATACATATATTTTCTAATCATTTTTTTCAGTAAATTTATCAAAATGCTTCAACTCCAACTTAAAAGCTTTCATCAATATAATTACATAGGGTAAATAACGTTGAATAGAATTTATTCACTAATATCTTTACAATTCTCCCTTATATAAATTAAACTCTATGGAGCAGTTCCCTTCCTATCATTCCTTGCAAGTATGACCCTAGAACAAGTCGACCTTCTTTACCTGAAAGGGTGAGCATCCTTTGCCCACTAAATCTTAATTTATAAAATAATAGAATCAATGCAGAAAGTATTCTTAAAAGTCACATAATAAGTTAGGAACACTCTATTTCTAAGAAATTCATTCATTATTGGATTAATTAAAATCTGTTTCTCCTTGTTTAATATAATAATTCCATTATTCAATTCATTTCAACGTTATCATATTGATTCCAAAGTACTTATCAATTTATATGCAAAGTACATACATTCTCTACTTTTTCTAGCATATACATGTAACATAACTTCTTTTATAATTTAAAGACAGTTAATCCTTTCACATTTGTTTCCCTCTAAATTTAACTTCTCCATTAAACATATAATAATAAAACATGAAAGCACATCACTTTACACTTAGCCAAATACCATCATCAAATCGATAACTTTGTGCCACTTTATCCCTTTCAATTTTGAATATTCCATCAACTTAACGATACTCTAGGTACTCTCTGTAACACCCCCGAATTTTGGTAATAATGAATTCATTATTAATATAAGTATGTGTATTGTTAATTCGGTGTATATCCAGATTTATGTTGGTAATGTGGATGTGTGTATATAGATAAATGTATGTGAGTTTTGACTTAGATTGACTGAAGTTGTTGAAAATATAAACTGAGGGTGAACTGCAGGGAGTTCTCGGTGTAGCGAGAAGACCTTGAGCGAAGAGCATGAAACTATTCTATTCTCGCTGTAGCGAGAAGGCACTGGGAAAGAGGGGTGAAACTGTTGCGTTCTCACTGCAACGAGAGTTCCCTTGCTGCAGCGAGAGGGCGACAGTAGAGGGTGCATTTCAGGGTGCAGTCTCGCTGTAGCGAGATTATGCAGAAACCAGTGCAGTTTCCTCTGAGATTTTCGCTATAACGAGAGAGGGTGTCGCTATAGCGAGATTGTTGTGATGCTTTGTGTATTTAAGGAGTTTAGGGTTAAGGAGAAGGCATTTCCACTTTCCTTTTTGTTATCTCATTCAATTATCTCAATCCCTAACATTTTTCACCGATCAAATTGCCTCTTAAGTCGTTTGTGCCCTAGATCAAAGGTTGGAATTATGTTTGGAGTGTTTGGAGGTAAGTATTTTGGGTTAGGGTTTTCAATTTTTACCCTTTCTTCATCTATCTTGATTTCTCATGGATTATTCCATGTGTTTAGGGCAAGAATCTGTGTAAGAGGTGTTTCTACCGTTGAATTCGTGGTGGGTCTCCATTCTAAGGTAAGGGGGAGTTGATCCAAAACCCTAACCTCTCTTGAGTAGTTGAAAAAGGAAAATCCTTACCTATTTTAATAACTATCTAAATGTAACTTGTAATAAAGGCTTTAAATAAAACTGTCTTTGAGAAATACTACGATTTTACTAAGCGAACATGTTTAGAAGTAGTTGGGATGTGTCATTTGATGTTTTGGGGAATGAAGGATTTAGTATTAAAAACGAATGATGCCAAACCTTAGAATAGACGACCTATTACTATTACTAAGAACATGTGAGTGATGGATTGCACGATTGGGTTGAGGCCAGAGGTGTCCGGCCTCTGACACATTGTATTGATTGTGTGATGATTTTCTGTCTTAGATGAATATTTAATAATGATTGAGATATGTTGAGATTGGTTGAATTAAGTTGACGATATTTACGTGGTGAATGATATGATTATTATCGATGTTGTTTAATTGCTGAAGCATGCCAAATGGGTAAAACTATGTTATTGATGCAAGTGTTTGACCGTTCTCGAATAAAGAAAAGTTTTCTATGTGGTGTGATATGATGGTGGAATTGTGAGAAAAGTGATTATGATATGAGAGTTAGAATATATGAATGGATGTGATTCTAATACAGATATTGTGGTACGAGCAGAGGGTGTACTCATAATATGTGTATTGTAATACACCAAGTTATGCGGTCAAGACTCACGTATTATGACACGTTGCCCTATGAAAAGGGTGTGAAAAAGAATGAGAAATGTTGGTGGTGAGTTTAGATAGCTAGAGAGATACACTGGGGATATAGAGTCCGAATAAGATTTGAAAAATCTTGGAAAAATGAGGTTGGTGAATGCTAAGTGTGTACAAGTGCACAATGACTTGCTGAAAGTAGAAGCATTCACAGGCCACACACTTATTTCCTGACGAGTCTCCTGACTATACCTTTGCTAAAAAGGGCCGGGACAGCACATGTGTATCCGTGTTGCTGGGGGTAACCAGCGGCTATCTAAGCTATGAAGTCCACAAGGGATCCTAGGGGCATTGGATATGAAAGTGAAATAAATGTGAAAGTGTGATGTGTATTAAGTAGTATAGCAGTTGTATGATTATAATATATGCATTGTAACATATCGGTTGATGTTGTTATGATATATGTCTTGTAATACATCGACGGGTGCAATTAGGACACATGTATAATGACATATTAATTGACGTGGTATAATACATGTATTATGAGGTGCAGATTTGGAGAGAGATGCATGTTATAAAAGTGATAAATATGATTGATTAATTGTCTTGTGTGTACTCCTTTGTGATGGTGAATTGTATGAGTTGAGTGCTACTAAGAGTTCAACCCATGTTAGAAAATGTTTTCAGTATTATATATATATATAATTATGATTATTTTGCTTATGGTAAATAACAGATTTAGTGGGCGGGAGATACTCACCCTTACTAATATTTTCAGGTAATGAAAGCGATGAAACAAAGATGTTTAGTTCGTCCTAGAATCATAACCCAAGGGTATTAGAAGGAAGGTTGCTCTGTAGAGATTAGAATAATTTGTGAAAAATTGTAATATTTTGCTTTAATGGTATCTTATGTTGCCCAAGGTTTGTAAATGATTTTCAATGTCATATTTTAAAATTTATAATATTGAGAGAATTTCGTTATAATGAATATTTTGGAAATGTTCTCAGTGGCTACTCTATATTATATACATCTAATATAAACCAAACAAATTGCTAGATGTAAATTGAAGATGTTACACTCTCAGGCCCCTAACTCACTGCCAACGTACTCTCTTTAGTTACGAAGGACTTACGCAGCATAGATAGTCGATTGTAAGCTAAATCACACACAGATACAACATGTGCGTTTACAGCCTTCCAAGCAAAAGTATAGTTAGGAGTTCGGTCAAGAGATAAGCGTGAGGGCTGTAAATGTTTCTCACTCTTACATCGTGTACACATTAGTAAAATGTATTTACCACTCTCATTTCTCCCAGATTTCCACAATCAACTCCAGACCCTATACTCCAGTGTATCCCTGAACTATCCATACCATATCTCAACTGTGGCACATCACTTTATACTGTTCTAATACATATGTTGCAACTATCATCATGCTCTATCATACAATTCATCACAATCATCATGCTCTATCATTTCAGCAAACATTTATAAGACAGTAACACGTTAGCACACAATGTGCCATGGTCGGATACTCTCGAACTCAGTCCAAATCGTGCAATTTCATAATAATTTACCAGAAGTCATATTTCCTCAGTCTCGACAGAGTCTTCTAACCGAGATTTCAATATTCTCTGTGTTTTATCACTTAACTCATATACATTTCAAGTAACTTAGTCCTAAAACTTCTTAATGTTGTTGTAGCACAAAACTTGATTCCAGTTATTTCAAATAAACACAAAACCTTTCTTTATTTGTATCACATTATCTTTCAAATTGAATAATTTACATATATCCATGAATACATGCCAACATAAATAATTTAAACATGAAAAATATATTAAGAGACTTATTATTTGTATTTGATTTGATTTTGTGAATTAAGTCAATGCATTGATTGACATTGTCTTCTAATAGTTTGTTGATTAGTTCTTGATTTGATAATGTGGTTTACAATGTGGTAGGATATTTGAAAATTGAATTTTGTGGTAAGGTATTTTAAAATTTAATTTTGTGAGAGTAGTTGGTATATAATCACTTTCTAGTGGCTACTTGTATAAAGTCTCAAGGGATTTTTTTTCCTCTGTAGCATGTGTAAAATGAATAAGGTTTATTGAGAAAGTTAGTCTCTAAAATACATGCTTGTGCTCATTAAGATATTTATTTTGGAAAAAATCTATTTTAGGTGTCAAAGAAATAAAATTGAATTTTAAAAGGTGATACATTTCAAGTCTTGAGTTCAATTAGATACATAGACAAAGTGACTATTTATATAATATATATTAACTCATAAATAGTTTATGTTAGTGTAGTGAGATTCTTAGTATTTTTGAAGTAATGTTGTATTGTTAAATATTTTTTACTATTTATGATATGAAATATAAATAATTTATATTTAATATCACAATTCAAACTTGCAAGGTCACACACAAAGAACAAGCCCACTAAAGAAGTTAGATTATAGTTGAATAAAATTTTTTACCTCATTAAGTCGATGAACCCAATAACTAAATCATGCTTATTAGGATTTTTTTTATTATAGAGTATAAGATGCATAACCTAATTATTTATTATTACATTAACTCCTTTGTGGACCACTAGCATAATAATGACGGAGGACTTTCCATAAGATACAAAATAAGGTGGGTTTATTGGGACAAATATCAAGTACCAGTTAAGGTCTACATACTTGATTCAACTGATAGAGTGAGATCAAACGATTCCAAAACAATCCATGATTGTCAAATAGATAAGTTATTAAAGGCAATACTTCATTAAAAAAAAGTAGATTCTTTAACTTAAATTTAGTTATAGATATAATGTATTTTACTTTTATTAAGAGTAGTGAAAAACAAAGATTTTTTAATGGTCCTTACAGGCAGAATACACCATTTTGGCAAATCATAGCAGTGATTCTCCTCATGTCCAAAAAGCAAACATCCCATTAGAAAAAGGTGGTTATCTCATATATGGTACTGCTCATATGCACACAGGTGTTGTCAATGCAACTCTATGGACAGGTGGTGTATAATATTTGCCATAATTATCGTGTACTCTTCATTTGTTGTAATGCATCTTCACTTCTAAATATATGTTTTCTTATTAATTTAGGATGGAAGAGTTTTATGCACGTTAACACCTAAATATGGAACGGGAAAAAAGGCAGGAAATGAAGAAGGTTATGTTGTTGGGATGTCTGTTTGTTATCCGCAACCTAGTTCAATCAGAATTAACGATGGTGAAACCTTGACTCTAGAGTCTAGATATAAAAATGAGTTCCGCACAGGGGCTATGGGACATTTTTACATCTACTTGGCAGAGCAATTACCGCATGAAAATGTTAAAAATTTAATTTAAATATAAGAAATGTTTCACACATATGCTATATATGGCACATTCTTACATTTATATGTCTTCAGCTAATAACTATAATAGCTTTTAAGATATTTTATTTATGGTAACATAAATATCATCGTTTCTAGTAACATGTGTCATATTAGTTTACCACAAATTGCACAATCCATTTTTAAAGTTTCAAAATTTCTTGTTTAACCCATCATTAAATTTTTTTATGTGTGTTGTTGTTGTATTATTTTCAAGTATATATTTTCAAAATATTTATAAAAAATGTACAAATTTTATCTATTGATTAGATTACAAACATTTAAACATGTTTTTATTATTTTTAAATTATCACAGCATGCTTGTGTGCGAGTGTTATTATAAAACTATTATGTCAAGGCTATATTCATTACATAACATGCAACACTTACCACATTTGTCCAAAAATACTTAGGAAGGCTACCTCATTAAGCATAGTTCTTGTAAACTCCTTTAAAGATCTATTTTTCTTTTTAACTATCCTATTTTAGCTAAGAGCCAGCAGAAAAATTATGTTCAATGTCATTATTTTTGTAAAAAGTTTCAAAATCATGATTTTAAACTCAAACTCCATAATCATGATTTTTTCCCTTTTGATAAGAATCATAAATATGATTCTTTTTAAATTGCTTTGGCAGATCAATTACAAAATCTTTTAAAATCAATTTATTTAAATGATTTACATGGATGTGAGCAATTTTTCAATGCTATAACTAAGGGGGTGTATTGGATTAGGATTTTAAAAGACTTTGTAGGATTTTTATGATTTTTAAGACTTTTCAATATTCTGTAAGACTTTTAAGTTAGAATTTTAATAAATTCTGCAAGACTTTTAAGTCAGGATTTTAATAGATTATGCGAAACTTTGTGAACTTTGTAGAATTTCATAGATTTTTGACATAAAGAGCTCAAGATTTTTTTTCATACATTCATATTTAAAAAGAGTCAAAGACAAAAATAATAAAAAGCAACAATGTTTGGATAAATAATAATAATAAAATTCTCTTTAATATCATGTCCCCTAAATAGCATTCACCCACATATCCATAGCTATACTAGTCCTCCAAGCATTAGAGTTTTCTTGCTCTTGCTCTTGAGTTTGAATAATAGGCTCAAAATTATGATCTTCATTAACCGATAATGTTAAAGATGAAGTTCGTCCATCGGTTCAATTGAAAATTCATCAGAACAACATTCTTTGTGAAGAAAGTTATGTAATTCTGCACATACTAACACAAGTTCTACTTATATCTTAAATAAAAATGGAGGTATTGACTTAAAAATTGTGAACTTTGATTTAAAAATACCGAATATTCTCTCCATCACATTCGTTAAAGACGCATGATGAAGATTGAACAATTCTTTCTCATTCTCAGGGTTATTATTCTGACCTGCAAAATCTTGTAGATGATATCTTACACCTCAAAATGGAGCTAAAAATTGGCGTCAGTTAGAAAATTATCAATCTCACATCCATTTTCTATAAAAAAAATTACTACTTAAAAGTTAAAATTTCAAGCATTTTCTGTGTTATATATCTAAGGAACAAACTCAACTAAATAGAACAAGTCAATGGTACTATCATTATAGGGGAATGAGAACAGTAGTACAGTATTATATATGAGCAATAGTGCAGTATTATTAGCAGAGAAAAAAATGGATAAGGCAAGAGCATAGAAAAAAAAGAGATGAAAAACTCATCTGAAAATTCTTGAAGCACTTGAAAAGTCACTTCAAACAATCTTCCAAAATCTAATGGATTTAGATGAGATTGTTTTATAAATTTGGTATTTATAGATATCACTAAAAAGTCCTTCAAAATTCCTCTAATATAACAATTATTTAAAATTCTTATATTTTTTAATACCAATAGATTGTTTTTAAGTTGTAAAAAATCTCAAATGAATACCAATGAATTTTAATGAACTCTTTAAAAAATCTTAAAAGTCTAAATTGAATACCACTAGATTGTTTTTAAGTGACATAAAATCCTTATTAAATACCAATAGATTTTTTTGCTTAAAAAAATATTTTAAAATCCTATGAAATCTTAAACCAATGCATCCCCTAAGATTTATGCTTTTTTAAGTCCTTAAGCATTTTGCATTATATAAAGATATATTATCTAGCCTAATTAAATGTTGTCTACTTTTCACTAACAAACTTAACTTGCCTGTCATCTTTATTTTTAATTATGTAGCAATTTGAGTCAAATATAATTTTATTTCTTTTATCACATAATTGACTAATGCTAAGCAAATTATGTTTTAATTCATCTACTTTTATATATATATATATATATATATACATTATCAATTTAGGTAGAAGGAGATTAATTGACTTTTCCAACGCCAAGGTATTTTTATTTAGTATTGTTTCCATAGGTTAAAAAAAAATTGATTTGTCTACTATCGTCATGTTCTTGGAGAATTTGCTATCAAGGCACCAATGCACTCCTTGATTAGAAGCACACCTCACTTTCGTGACTATCAGAATAGTTTTCCATTAGACAGATATTCGCTTCTTCATCAATTGAGTTTTGTAAGAGTTTATGCCATTTTCATATCCTATGTTATGTAGGAATTTTTTTTCTCTTTTTCTGTTTTTTTTTTAAGATAGGAGCAATAAATTGTGGTGTGATTAGAGTTCCCACATTTAAAGCATGTAAGTGTAGAGAATTTTTTACTTTGTTTTATTTTCTTTTATTTTGGTAAGGAGGTTCTCTTTAAAAAAATTTCTTTTTCTTTAATAATTTTCCAAAAATTTCTCAAAAACGTAAGCTTTCTTCATTTAGTTTAGAGTCATCATTTCTCATCACCTTTTAAGGGACGAGGATGTGACTTTTAACAATATTTTTCTTTTTTCTTTTTATTTCTTTCTTTATTTAGTTGTTGATGACTTTAACTCAAGCTCATGTTCTTGTAATTTTTCAAGTAAAGTTGCTAGTGTAACGCCCCAAATTTCGGTAATATTAATTATTGTATTTATATAAAACTAAATGCATATATGTGTGTGTGTTGACTTACTTGATAATGATGATTATGTGTATTAAGTATATGGATGTGTGTATTATGTGTATGCATGACTGGATAGGGCTAAGATGGGCTAAGTGCCTAAGTGCAGGGCGTGATACTTGGTTGTTCTCGCTATAGCGAGAGGACTCTCGCCGTAGCGAGAGGGCCCTAGGAGGAAGGACCAGAACTATCACCTTCTCGCTAAAGCGAGAGACGTCTCGCTGTAGCGACAAAGCACAGTTTGGGGTGCATTTCTGAGTGCAGTCTCGCTGTAGCGAGAGGGTCTCGCTGTAGGGAGATTCTGCAGAAACTAGGGTGCAGTTTCGTCTAATATTTTCGCTAGAGTGTCGCGACCAGAAAGGGATTTAAAGGGGGTTAAGGTTTGGGGAGGATTATTTCTCCTTCTCCCTTCGAAATTCCTTGGATTTTCTCATTCTCAAACCCTTTTCCAACGATTAAATTGCCTTTAAAGTCGTTCGGGAGATTGATTGAAGGTTAAATCTGTGTGGGGAACGCTTGGAGGTGAGTTTTAATGGTTAGGGTTTTGGTTTTTCATCTCCTTTCTCTGTTTTTGTGGTTTCCTTGGGTTCTCATGGAGTTTCTCCATGTATTTAGGATGAAATCTGTGAGGGGGAGCACTTCTTGGTGGATTTAGCGTGTGGGCCATGTGTCGTGATATATGAACATTATGTGTGTTGACCCGAACTTGATGGATGTGGATTGTATGTAAATGTTGCATGATAGATGAATATTGACTATGTGCTGTGTGAGGTGAAATGAATATGGACCTAGTGCCGTGTATTTGAATGCAATGTGGGCCGTGTGCCGTGTGTAAGCATGATCATTGCATGTGTGAATGGAATATATGTGTGAATAGGCGTATTAGCGCCATTTTGATATGCTGTGAATGGTTCAGCGATACACTGGGGGTGTGGAAGATGAGGACGGTAGGAATACCTTGGGAAAGAAAGAGTGGTGGTGACACCAACTGCGGAACAGGTGCACCACAGGTCACACACTCTCTTCTTGACTAGACCTCTGACCACTATCTTTGCTTAGTGACCTGTGACTGCCTACGTGGTATCCGTGAGGTGGGGGTAACCAGCGACCATTCATGATGTAAATCTGTGATCATAGTACTATGGTGACTGTGTCTGGTATGCGTATGCATGGATTTGTGTTTTATACTTATGGATGTGAATTGCTGCCTATGATTGTGTTTGTTGGATGTATTGGGAAGGTTCTGGAGGTGAGACTCTATGTTAAATGTGTGTTTTTGGTAGTGTAGAGTACTCACCCTTATATTCATTTTTCAAGTAATCAAGACGATCAGCACCGAACTCAGTGAAGGGATGGATGGACTGCTATAGGACTTAGTTTTTATTTTAAAATTTGTTATAAATAAACTAGTCTTGTAGCAGTTATTTGATATTAATTTGTAACATTTCCCTTATTTTGAAGTATTTTATGAAAATTGGTTATTTGAATTTGTGAAATTCTTATTAAATTGAAATTAAATTTAAGGTGTTATAGCTAGAGTTATCATAAATAGGTTCCTTGATTTTGTTATTACAATCATTTTAAGGTGTCAATTCCTACTAAAGACATCTCAAAATCTTATTGATTAAATTCTCAT